TGGGGAGCGATGGGGAATGGCAGATGAAGCTTCCACTTGCTTGCCCCTCACCTCCTGCTGTGCGGCCCGGTTCCTAACAGGCTATGGACCGGTACTGGTCCAAGGCCCGGGGGTTGGGGACCCCTGGCCTACAGGACTCTACTGCATGAGCCTTTCTGACCTATTATTGTCCCGCTTGCTCTCTCTATTCCAGAACACTGTCCTCCTCTCTGTTGACTTAATAATCTAGGCACACTCCTGCCACAGGGCTTTTGTACTTGCTGTTCTAATTGGGATGCTCTTCCCTCATATATATATGGCTTGCTCCTTTACTCCCTTCAGGTCTTTATACAAAAATTGTTTTGTCAGTGAGTCCTTCCCTGGCTTCCCTACCTAAAATTTCAACACCACTGTCATTCCCCTCACCACCTAGTGTGTGTATGTATACTTACATATACATGCATACATATTCCCCTTCCTGCCTTATTTTTCTACTTAACTCCTCTATCTAACGTATAGTATATTTCACTGATTACCCTGATTTATCTTGCTTCTTGTCTGCTTCATCCACTAGATGGTCAGCTCCATAAGGGCAGGGATTTTTGTATGCTTTGTTCTGTGTCTTTGTCTCTCCAGCACCTAGACCAGGGCCTGGCAGATGCTCATTAAATGTTAGCTGGAGGGATGGACCCCGGGCAAATGGGGTGTTCCGGAAGTCAAGTAGAGAGAGCACAGTGTCAGCACTGTGGTAATGCTGCTAGGAGGTCAAATGAGATAAAGGAAGGAAGTACTTATTGCATGTTTCAGTAAGGAGGTCAAGATATCAGTGAAGTCTGTTTTAGAGAAGGTGGGGACTAAAATCAGACGGCAGCAGTGGGTGAGAAAGTGTACACAGCAACTCAAAAAGATTCTTTTTATAGGTTTGGCCCTGGTAGAACATCTCTGGATAGTACAGTGTGGCTAGGAGTAGGAGGGAGACTTTTCACTGTATACACTTCTGTACCTTTTGAGTTTTATAAAATGTATAATCAATACCTATTTAAATAAAAGTCATTGTGAAGCTGCATAGGATTAAACAAAGAAGATATTTAGCTCTGAAGTGGCAGAGAGGGGCAGAAAGGAGGCAGGGAAGGTCTTGCAAAGATCAGTGAGCTAGTTTAAATGCTATTGTGAAGGGGAAGGTAGAGAGGGAGAGGTTGAAGATACTGCAGAAAGAAGAGAGAATTTATTGAGAAGGTAAAAAAAAAAATAAAAATAAAAAAAAGATGTGACCCAGGTGGAAAGGCTGACTTTACAAAGAAGGAAAGATAGTTCTTTCGTTGTAACAAGAGGAAAAGAAGGATGCAGAAGGAGGTAGATTTGGTGTGAGAAGTTGAGGTAGTTCCCATCTGATTACTTCATTTTGTCTAAGAAGTAGGAGGCAGGGTCATTTGCTGAGAGAGAAGAGGAAGGCAGTGGGGGGGTCAGAGATTTGAAATAGCCATTGTGGATAATGGTGGAGAGAACTGAGCAGGGAAATACAGGAGAATTGTCAGGCAGCATGACCCAGATTTTTTAAAATAGACTTTATTTTTTAGAGTAGTTTTAGGTTCCCAGCCAAATTGAGTGGAAGGTACAGAGGTTTCCCATATGCCTCCTGCCCCCACATGCATAGCCTCCCCCATTATCAACATCCCCCACCACCAGAGTGGTACATTTGTTAAAGTAGATGAACCTATACTGACACATGATTATCACCCCAAATCCATAGTTTACATCAGGATTTACTCTTGGTGTTATACATTCTATGGGTTTGGGCAAATGTATAACTTGTACCCACCATTATATCATTTTAGTAGCAGAATAGTTTCACTGCTCTAAAAATTCTCTGTGCTCTGCCTGTTCATCTCTCTTCCCCCCCAATCCCTGATGACCACTGATCTTTTTACTGTCCCCATAGTTTTGCCTTTTCCAGAATGTCATGTAGTTGGAATCATATAATATGTAGCCTGATTGGCTTCTTTCAAAGTTTCTTTCATGTCTTTTCATAGCTTGATAGCTCTTTTTTTTTTTAGTGCTGAATAATATTACATTGTCTGGATGTACCACAGTTTATCCATTCACCTACTGAAGTACATCTTGGTTGCATCCAAATTTTGGCAGTTATGAATAAAGTTGCTATAAACATCTGTGTGCACGTTGTTATGTGGACATAGTTTTCAATTACTTTGAGTAAATGCCAGAGAGCACAATTGCTGGGTTGTATGGTAAGAGTATGTTTAGTTTTGTAAGAAACTGCCAAACTGTATTCCAAAGGGGCTGTTTTTTGCATTCCCACCTGCAAAGAATGAGAGTTCCTGTCGCTCCACCTCCTGGCCAGCATTTGGTGTTGTCAGTGTTCTGGATTTTTGGTTATTCTCATAGGTGTATAGTGATATCTCGTTTTAATTTGCATTGTCCTATTGATACAGGATGTGGAGCACCTTTTCATATGCTTATTTGCCATCTGTATATCTTCTTTGGTAAGGTGTCTGCTCAGATCTTTTATCCATTTTTTAATCAGATTGTTCATTTTCTTATTGTTGAGTTTTAAGAGTTCTTTGTATATTTTGGATAACAGTCCTTTATCAGATATGTCCTTTGTAAATATTTACTTCCAGTCTTTGGCTTGTCTTTTCATTCTCTTGACAATGCCTTTCACAGAATGGGTTTTTAATTTTAATGAAGTCCAGCTTATCAGTTCTCATTTTTCATGGATTGTGCCTTTGGTGTTGCATCTAAAAAGTCATTGCCAAACCCAAGGTTATCTAGATTTTCTCCTATGTTGTCTTCTAGGAGTTTTATCGTTTTGTATTTTATATTTAGGTCTGTGATCCATTTTGAGTTCTTTTTTGTGAAGGATATAAGGTCTGTGTCTAATTCCATTTGTTTGCATGTCCATTTGTTCCAGCACCATTTGTTGAAAAGACTGTCTTTGCTCCATTGTATTACCTTTGCTCCTTTGTCAAAGATCAATTGACTATATTTCTGTTGATCTATTTCTGGACTTCTTTTCTGTTCTATTGATCTCTTTATTCTTTCATCAGTACCACACTGTCTTGATTACTGTAGCTTTATAGTAAGTCTTCAACTCGGGTAGCATCAGTCCTCCAACTTTGTTCTTCTCCTTCAATATTGTGTTGGTTTTTCTGTGACTCAGATATTTTGGACAGTGTGAATTTATTGTGGCACCAATCCAATGGGTGATTTTTCTCTAGCCATGTCCAATGGTCCAATGTTATATAGTTGGATTGAGCCAGGGTTGGGATTTGCACGTGGGAGTGATGTAAAGGCAGTGGGGCAAGTGAGTTGAAGGTATCTGTAAGAGAATGGTTGAAGTGAGGAATGATGAAATCTATGAACTAGATAGGGAAGAACGGTGCAGGCAACAGTAGTTGAACAGGTGAAAAGTAGGATCAAGGGATTTTTGAGGGCAAAGAACAGGTGTAATGAATGAGAGCTGGATGGATGTACTTGTGGTCAGAGTGTGATGTATGCATTTCATATTCCAGAGGTGAAGCAGTTGCAAGTGTTGACAAGGTCTGGGGGATGGCCATGAGAGTTGGTAGCTGAAATGGGAGTGGAGGCAGCAGTCTCTGAAGATGAGAAGGTCAATGAGCTAAGAGGCTGGGATATTAGGCCTTTATATTCATAATTATGTCACGTGGGAGGCTGGCAGGACTTGGGATGAAGAAGAATCTGTGAGCAGGTTCTTCAGTGAGTGAAGAGGGTATGTTGGGGAGATGAGTAGCTGATAGTGAAGAGGTATGTTGGGGAGATGCGTAGCTGATAGTGAAGAGGAGTGGGAAGAGCTATTGTTGGATGATATGAAACTCAGAGGAATAGGAGATCTTACACAAGGATAGAGGAGAGATGATCTCAGAGTCTCACTGGAAAGTGAGGGAGATGTTCACCCCCAGCCCAGCCCTCAGTTAGAAGGGTCTGGGAGAATGTACAGCTTCTACCTGACCGGGTTCTAACACAGTGCTTCTTAGACTATCTGAGGTGAAGCACCCAGGGTATTTTGGTTTTTTTGGTAAATTTCCAATTCATAATAGACCAATCCTTTTATAAAATAAAATGTCCTCAATTTATTGATGTGCAACAGGTTTGCAGGGTTAGCACTCGGGAAGGTGGTGGGGTCCTGATCCTAGGAAGTCAGTCTTAGCCAAAATGGTTGGAGCTCTGCCTTATTATTATGCTCCCTGTTCTCTGTGGCTGGCCAAAGATTTTAGGAGATCTTAGCCAGAAGTTTTTTGGAGGGCTGCCGATGCCTTCTTTGGTGAGGAAGGCTTTAAATTTTGTGAGATTACCAGCTCACATACATGCAAACTCAGATTTTCAAAATTAAATAAATCTTTCTCAGACATTACAGTATGAAATAAGTAACACATGTTCATTGTAGAAAATTAGAAAATACATATAAGAGAAAAATGGTTACCATAATCCTTCACTCAGAGGGAACCACTGTTGACTATAAAATACTATTTTCATTCATTTTCATTTAATAAAGTAAATAGCTCAATAAAGTTTAAATGTTTGATTTTATGTTGAAATAATATTTTAGATATATTGGTTAATAAAATATTAAATATTATTAAACTTAATTTCACCTGTTTCTTTTTACCTTTTTAATGTGGCTATTAGAACATTTAAAATTACATATTTAACTCACATTATATTTCTACTGGACAGCACTGCTCTAGAGTCTCTTCCAGCCTTGACCATTCTGAGTCTTAATGAAGCTTTATTGTCTGTACATTTTTAGCTCTGTCATAATTATTTTAGACCATTTGGTCCAATAGAACTTTTTGCATTGACAAAAAAGTTTGATAATCTGCCCAGTATGGTAACCACGTGTGGCTACTGAGCACTTGAAATGTAGCTAGTGTGATGGAGGAACTGCATTTAAAATTTTACTTAATTGTGTACTGAACAGCACAGTTCTAGACCTTAGGAAAAGTCAAATTTCCACAAACCTTGGCTGATTTTCTCTTTTCTAGTTGTGTTGGTGTTGAAGAGGAGAAGGCTGCTGACATTGACCTCTACCACTGCCCCAATTGTGAGGTCTTACATGGGCCCTCCATCAGTAAGTAGATCTTGGAGTTTTTAAGAGAAGGCAGTCCAGAGGAGAGACAAAGCAAAGGAAGCTTGGAAGGAAAATTGCCTTTTTGTCAGTGCTTCAGATTTGTCTCTCTTGGGAAATAGCAGAAGCCTGTGTAGGCCCTGCAGGCCAGCAGCTGCTCCACTGAGAGGAAAGAAATGCAGAGTTTCACCTCCCTCCCTTACTTAGGGATTCCCCAGAGGACGCACCTATCCTCACCAAGAGCTTTCCTGAGACTGTGAGGGCCTCCTTGACTCCAGATGATCCAAGGGGTTGTTAGATTGGAAGAGAAGCAGGATCTGCTGAGGCGTTTGCTCTTGGAACCATAGCTTGTAGCCATTTTGACTAACAGTGTCTTGTCTTTTACTGGCTTAGTGAAAAAACGCCGTGTATCTTCAAAAGGCCACGATACACACAAGGGGAAGCCAGTGAAGACGGGAAGCCCTACGTTCATTCGAGAGCTTCGGAGTAGGACCTTTGACAGGTGAGGACCCCGTACTCCAAGGGCCAGTGAATGCCAGGGCTCTGGGAAGCTGGGGCCCATCTCTTCCAGCTTTCCCACTGGCTGTCGCGCTGGGTACCTCCAACCATCTGGGGATGTCTGCAGGGCTCTGTGAGTTCCCTCTGGGGAGGGATCTTCTGTTTTAGTCGCTTTCTGAGAAACATTGCTAGAGTTTCATTTGATGTGCAGAGTACATTAAGGTCCACTTGTAGAAACTTTTGGTAGATAGGCAGTTTTCGCCTTAGTCAGGAGAGGATATTTACATGCACCCAGGGAATGCTATAACTAGAAGGAGTCTTAAAAATCAGAAAGTTTAATTCTCTCATTGTAGAGAAGATGAAACTCTTTGGAAAAAAATTTTTTTTGAGTAGTCATGTATTTCTTTTAAAATCAAGAAAAATTTTTTTTCTTTTAGAAAATTAAGATGGGCTTATTAAATAAATTACTTGAATTGAGCAAAAATAATGTTAGAAAAATTAATGAATAAAGCATTCTCTTTTGCTTAGTTTTTAATTCATTTGACCTTTTCCAGCTTTCCTATAATTGAAGTGTTATTTAGGATTATAAGTGTTTCTTCAACTTAATAAATTTTGTTTTATTTATTTAAAGGCAGTGAGTCTCCTTTCTACCCCAGACCCCTCAGGTCCCTTCTCCAGAGTCAACCAATTTCTTGTGCATTCTTTCAGAAATAGTTTTTGCTTATACAAACATATATGTGTGTGTGTGTGTGTGTGTGTGTGTGTCCCCTTGTTTATTAAAAAACACAAACAGAAACATATTGTTCTACATCTTGCTTTTTTTAAAATCTGAATTATGGAGATCAATCCATAACCCCGTATACAGATGTTCTTCATTCTTTTTCATGGATGTTTAGTACTCCACTGTATGGATGTATAATTTATTTAACCAGTCCTCTGTTGATGAACATTAAATCAACTCTAGTATTTTGCTATTAGAAAAAAAATGCACAGTGAATGTCTTTGTATTTAGGTTTTTGCATATGTGGGTGAGTATATGTGTAGATTTACTACCTAAAAATGAAATTGCTAGGTCAAAGGGTATGTGCTTTAAAAATGTTTATAAATATTGCCAGATTGTTTTCAAAGTGGCCACACTATTTCATACTCCCACTAGACAATGTGTGAGGGTACCTGTTTTCCTATATCCTGGCCAACACTGTTTATTATCAAACTTTTTTGCCTTTCTGATAAGATAAAAAATGAGATTTCATTGTTTCCACTTGCATTTCTTTAGTTATGAAGGAAGCATGTCTATTATCGTACATTTATAAGTCATCTTTATTTCTTTTCTCTGTTAACTGCCTTCTCAACATTGTTTAACAGTTTTTCTGTTGGGTTACTGCCTATTTCATACTGATTTGTAATAGCTTTCCTTGCAGAAAATTTTAATTTTTACGTAAATTTACTTATTACTATTTATAATGATTACTGGGCCTTGTCTCTCTGATAATTTTTCTACTACTCTATGGCTTTATTTTTTCTGATTTGATCTTTGTTCCATCTAGAATTACTTAAAGAGTGAGATAGACTTTGATCTTAATATTTTTCCAGATGTTTGTGCCAACACAACTTGTCAAATAGCCAGTCTTTTCTCCAGCATGATTTTAAGAAAACCAGAAACTCCTGTTTTCTAGTTAACTAAGTATGTGTGTCAAGAGAGTGGCTATAAAAATTGTTTTTGTTTTTTAAATCAGTCTTTTCTCTTTATTTGCCAGTGTTTAAAATGGGGTAGTGCTGCTCTGGGTTAGAGTAATTTAGCTAAACTTGTCAGGTATGTCTTTTCTTCCTGGGCAGGCTGTTGAGTCATTTCTTCCTTTGTCATCTAGAGAAGAGCACCATATTGACAGGCTATCCTGGATTTAGCTTACCACCTCTGCCAGTGACCTGGCTTCTTACCTTCGATAGGTCATTTCTTCCCTGGCAGGTGAAGTTTATGCCACTCATTAGTTGCCAGCCAACATTAGGTCCCCTCAGGAAGACCCCACCCTTTGGGTGAGTGACAGCATCCAGTGAGGCCTTCAGTAGTAGGGCCTCTAGGGTTCAGGCTTTCTCTCATGTCACCCACAGCTCAGATGAAGTGATTCTGAAGCCCACTGGAAGTCAGCTGACCGTGGAATTCCTGGAAGAGAATAGCTTCAGTGTGCCCATCCTGGTGTTGAAGAAGGATGGATTGGGGATGACGCTGCCCTCACCATCATTCACTGTGAGGGATGTGGAACACTATGTTGGTAAGCACCACAGACCCTCTTAACTGTGACATTGTTCACTCCCATCAAAACGTATGACCCTTCCCCTCCAATCTACGTTTTGCATTTCCTTTCTAGCCATCTTGGGAATTTGAGGTGAAGTGCCTTGCCCAGAGTCATTCTTTTTTTTTTTTTTTTTTGCGGTACGCGGGCCTCTCACTGTTGTGGCCTCTCCCGTTTCGGAGCACAGGCTCCGGACGCACAGGCCCAGCGGCCATGGCTCATGGGCCCAGCCACTCCACGGCATGTGGGATCTTCCCGGACTGGGGCACGAACCCGTGTCCCCTGCATCGGCAGGCAGACTCTCAACCACTGCGCCACCAGGGAAGCCCCCCAGAGTCATTCTTAGGCAAAGCTGGAACCAAAATCCTAGCCTACCCTTCCTTTTCCTCCTAACACACCACAAAACCCCAGGCTGAGCCCCATCTTTTACCTGGGGAATTCCAAGGATTGTTATGGCCTCTCTGTCCTCTGTTGAGATGAGAAAGCCTTTGACTTTTGCCCTCACATGCTAGTTGTGTTCTGGACATCAGTTTTGGGGGATAGGAAGAGAAGTGAGGAAGCAGGGCCCAGGCAGGTGGATAGTACTGTCAGTGAGACTATGTGTCAGGCAGTTCTGTTGCCTTAGCAGGCCTGGACCTGGCACATAGGTCTAAGGAGAGTGTGAGGAATACCTACCCCCACTTCCCATTTATGCACATACAAATATAGTGAGAAGTTTTCAGTGTAAGGTCATTTTAGGGACTGGTTAGGGGATGTGAGAGTCTTCTCTGATCCCTGGGACTTGGTGCAGAATCCATCTCTTTACTCCAGGTTCTGACAAAGAGATTGATGTGATTGATGTGACCCGCCAGGCCGACTGCAAGATGAAGCTTGGTGATTTTGTGAAATATTATTATAGCGGGAAGAGGGAAAAAGTCCTCAATGTCATTAGTTTGGAATTCTCTGATACCAGGTAAGAGGGAGAGGGGTAAGTAAAAAGCCTCACAAAGTGCCTAGGACTTGTGATATATTGAGTGTATATTAGTGTTCCTTTCCCTTCTTCCTGGTGGTTTCTTCCTTTGAGATGAGGAGCTGGTGTATACTTTCTAGGGTAGCTGCTCACATTATAACAACCAAATCATATTTCTCCTTTACAGTTTCTAGCATAGGATAGATTATACAGTAGCTATTTTAATTAATTTTTGTTTCCTTCAAGATTTAGGACAGCTTTCTTAGACCTTTTTTTGGTGTTTAGATTGTGGCATGGTCACTGTTTAACTCCCAGGATAGGTCCTCTGTCCCAGGTAAACACTTCTTTACCTGGAACTGAGCCCTGAGAGGTTTCTCTAATTGTTCCTCATAAAGAAGACACTACAACATGGGGACAGTACAGTACTGTTATACACCATGTGCCAAGTGAGTGGGCCCGGGTGTGGAGATTCTGAGCATTTAGTGGAGGAAATGATCACCTTTGACTGGGGAAGGCTATGGAGCTGGGACTTGGGAATTCCAGAGCTGAGTGGAATGAGGATGCTGACTGGACTTACAAAAATAAGTGTCCTGTGTGCTCTTTGGGATTCTGTGGAGAGAACTTCTTTCTCTTATCTGAGTCTCACTGGGATGGGGGGCATGTTATTCAGGCTTCAACCTTCAATTCCCAATCAGCTGACATTTGCTCTCCACCCCTTCCTTGATAGGCTTTCTAACTTTGTGGAGACACCCAAGATTGTTCGGAAGCTCTCATGGGTGGAGAACTTGTGGCCAGAGGAGTGTATCTTTGAGAGGCCCAACGTGCAGAAGTACTGCCTCATGAGCGTGCGGGATAGCTATACAGACTTTCACATTGACTTTGGTGGCACCTCGGTCTGGTACCATGTGCTCAAGGTAAGAATGGCTATGGCTTCTGAAGGCAGCCAGGCCTTGGGCCTCCCTGTTTGTTTCAGGTGGCAGCATAAAGACAGGCTGCTAAGGCCTACCTGCGTCCCAGATTCTATTTGGGTGACATTTCAACATAACTGCTCTATCAGGGTTGGGTACTGAGTGGATATGCCATATAAATTGTCTCTACTTTATAGTTTTGATGGTTAACTTTTATTTTTTTTTAAATAACAGCAGATGCCTAAGGTTTTCTCTGACTGTTATCTTAATTGAACCAATCATCTGTACTCCTACCGCTATGTATGGAAATGTCCATATTTACTGCAGAAATTTCTGGTAACATGAGAAATTCCCTCTCCCCTCCAAGTTTATTGAGTTATAATTTGTATACCATAACGTTCACCTGTTTTAAGTGTATAGTTTGATGATTTTTGACAATTGTATAAATAGTTGCATGACTGCCACCACCATCAAGATAGAGCACGTATGAGATGGGTTTTTTTTAATGTCAGCCTTTCTATAGTTTCCCTTTTAGTGGTCGTTACAATTTTATAATTAGCATATTGATTGTCAGTGACTATAAAGGATTTTTGAGGTCTAGAAAACAAATTTCTTAAGTAAGTTTTATTGTTCTCCACCACTGTTCATGCTATTTAGCTTTCTTATCAGAAACACCAAGGAAAGAGCAGAAAACTTGGATATGGCTCTTGTCCAAATGATCACAAATCTTGAACTAGTTGTTTTCATTGGTTTATCATGAAGAAATTGGAGTGTGTAAATGAAAGTGCTATTATGCAAATGTTAGATTTAACTTTTTTATTTTTAAATAGTTTCTTTTTCATAGAAAAATTGCAAAAATAATAGATTTCCTGTGTGCCCTTCACTCAGATTCCCATGTTACTATTTTATTATACTTTCTCTTTCTCTGAAGCAAACATAATAAAATAGTTTTATATAAATATTTTTTCTGAAACACCTGAGAGTAGTTTCAGACAAGGTGTCCCTTTATCTCGTAATAATTCAGTGTATATTTCTTAAAAACAAGGGTATTCTCTTATATAACCACAGTATAGTTACCAAAATCAGAAAATTAATATTGATATAATACTGTTATCTAATCTACAGATCTGATTCAAATTTCTCTAATTGTACAGTATAATTTCTAGTAGATAATTTTCTACATTGAAATGTATTATGAAATATTGGTTAAACTAATCAAGCTATGGGTTGGGGATATTTTTGTGCTAGTGGGTTTTTTCTTTTCTGCCAAATTATCTATCTGGTGATTATCCAGGCAAAACATAGTTAGGAAATAATATGTTCTTTCAACAGATAATCATCCAACATATAATCTTACAGAAGTCCTTGGGTGATTATTGAACTTTTAAACTTTTATTAGCTTTGATTGCAGGTGTGAGAAGGAATGCTCTCTGTAAATGGCATTTAAAGGCAAATTCAATTTTCTTCTCATTAGTAATGTGGCCTTAAATTCTCCTAGGGCTAGTAATATTGATCTACTCATCTATAGAGGCCATTTTTCATTTGGCATTGCATCTAAAATAGGAGCCTTTGGTGTACATTTGTCTTAAGTTGACAATTTTGTTTGAAATGTCCTTTCCAAATTGTTTTTGTCAGTTTTATAGACGCTTAAAAGTACAAAGTGCAAAAGGACTTCTGAAGTTTTCCAAATATATATATAAATGATCCTTGGACAGAAGGAATTGTAGCATACTACATGGTCTTGGAACATGAGAGAGAGAATATTCTTTTGGAGACTCCCAGAAGACTTCTCTGGAAACTCTTGATATATATATATATTTTAATTAATTAATTTATTTATGGCTGCGTTGGGTCTTCGTTGCTGCGCGTGGGCTTTCTCTAGTTGTGGCGAGCGGGGGCTATTCTTCGTTGCGGTGCGCAGGCTTCTCATTGCAGTGTCTTCTCTGGCTGCGGGGCACGGGCTCCAGGCACGCGAGCTTCAGCAGTTGTGGCACGTGGGCTCAGCAGTTGTGGCTCGCGGGCTTTAGAGCACAGGCTCAGCAGTAGTGGCACACGAGCTTAGTTGCTCCGCGGCATGTGGGATCCTCCCGGACCAGGCCCGAACTCGTGTCCCCTGCATTGGCAGGCGGACTCTCAACCACTGTGCCACCAGGGAAGTCCTATCCCTTGATATTTTTGACATGTCAATCTTTCTTTGTTTCAGGGTGAGAAGATCTTCTACCTGATCCGCCCAACAAATGCCAACCTGACTCTCTTTGAGTGCTGGAGCAGCTCCTCTAACCAGAATGAGATGTTCTTTGGGGACCAGGTGGACAAGTGCTACAAGTGTTCTGTGAAGCAAGGACAGACACTTTTCATTCCTACAGGTCTTCCCTGGGCTCCTCTGGGAGGGTTTGAGGAAGGTGGGAAGAGGAAGAGAGCTTGTGGCACTGGAAGCAACCCCTTCCCATAATGTGTTGATCTGATTATGTGAGATATCCCTCTCTTATCAGTTGAAAGCTCAGAAGTGGACATCAAGAAAATTCGAGTGGTGGCCAGTGGGCAGTGTGGTTTCTTGGGGAGGTCCAGGAGGAAGTTGATAGCTCCTTTGCACTGGACTGATGTCAACTTGGTGGACAGATAGAAAACAGGACTCTCAGCCCCATGACTCTAGAGATAGTGACTGAGAGACTGGCATTGTAGACTATAAGTCAGAATGACCTGGGTGGGGGTAGGGTTTTTTTTCCCCCAAAACAATAAATGCCTAGGCTTCACCCCTAGAATTATGAATTCGTTGGTCTGGGGTGGGATCTGAGTATATTTATTTTGAAAAAGTCCCCATAGTTGTCTCAATTTGGGGAAAGTTGACATCTTTAGTATGTTGAATCTTCCATGAACACATATGTCTTTCCATTGATTTAGATTTTTCTTGGCTTTCTAATTTCTTAATTCCTTGATTTCAGAATTAGTGTTAAATTTTCTCAAAATGTTCAATAGAATTCTCTACTGCAGCCACATGGACCTGGAGATTTCCTTTTTGGGAAGTTTTTAATTAACATTCAATTTCTTTAAACCTGTATTAGGCTATTCAAGTTATCTATTTCATATTGAGTGAATTGTAAGTTTGTGCTTTTCGAACAATTGGTCCATCTTATCTAAGTTGTCAAATTTATGTGTGTAGAGATAGTATTTCTTTATTATTCTTTTGATATCTCCCAAGTCTCTAGTGCTACCCTGTGTTTCATTCCTGATGTTAGTAATTTGTGCCTTCTCTTTTATTGTGTGTTAGTCTTAATGGAAGTTGGTCAATTTTGTTGAACTTTTTAAAGAAGCACTTTTTGTTTCACTGATTTTCTCTGTTGTCTTTCTGTTTTCAATTTCATTGATTTCTGCTTTTATCTTTGTTTTTCCTTCTTTCTGCTTGCTTTGGGTTTATTTTGCTCTCCTTTTCCTAATCTTGAGATGAGAGCTTAGATTATTGATTTCAGACTTTTCTTCTTTTTTTATAATAAATTTATTTTATTTATTTATTTTTGGCTGCATTGGGTCTTCATTGCTGCGGATGGGCTTTCTCGAGTTGTGGCAAGTGGGGGTTACTCCATTGTGATGCTCAGGCTTCTCATCACAGTGGTTTCTCTTGTTGCGGAGCACGGGCTCTTGGTGCGCGGGCTTCAGTAGTTGTAGCACGTGGGCCCAGTAGTTGTGGCTCGTGGGCTCTAGAGCACAGGCTCCATAGTTGTGGCGCATGGGCTTAGTTGCTCCGCAGTATGTGGGATCTTCCTGGACTAGGGCTCAAACCTGTGTCCCCTGCATTGGCAGGTGGATTCTTAACTACTGCGCCATCAGGGAAGCCCTTTTCTTCTTTTTTTAATATAAGCATTTAGTGCTATAAATTCCCCCCTTAGCACTGATTTAGCTGTGTCACATATTTTGATATGTTGTATTTTCATTTTGTTAAATGTGCTTTTAAAAAAATTGAGATATAGTGCACATACCATAAAAATTACCATGTTAAAGGGTACAATTCAGTTTTTAAAAAAATATTCTTGAAGTTGTGCAAACATCACCACTATCTAATACCAGAAAGTTTTCATCACTTCAAAAAGAAACCCTGTACCTATTAGCAGTCACTCCCCATTCCTTCTTCCACCCCCCAGCCCCTGTCAACCCCACTTCTGTACTTTTCTCTGTGTATGAATTTGCCTTTTCTGAATATTTCATGTAAATGGAATCATGCAATATGTGGTCTTTTATGTCTGGCTTCTTTCACCCAACATAATATTTTCAAGGTTCATCCATGTTATCAGTACTTCATTCTTTAAATGGCTGAATAATAATTCCATTGTATGGATATACCATATTTTGTTTATCCATTCATCATTTTATAGACATTTGGGTTGTTTTCACTTTTTGCCTATTATGAATAGTGTTGCTATGAACATTCATGTACAAGTTATTGTGTTAACATATATTTTCAGTTCTCTTGGGTATATCTACCTAGGAGAGGAATTGCTGAGTCATATATATGGTAACTCTGTGTTTAACTTCTTGAGGAATTGCCAGACTGTTTTCTAAAGCAGCTGCATTTTCCACCAACGATTTATGAGGGTCTCAATTTTTCCACATCCTACCCAACACTTGTTTTTGCCTGTGTTTATGATTATAGCCATCCTAGTGGGTGTGAAGTTGTAGCTCATTGAGATTTTAATTTGTGCTTCTTTAATGGCTATTGATTTTGAACATCTTTCCATGCACTTATTGGATGTTTATATATCTTTTTTTGAAGAAATATCTATTCAAAACTTCTGCCCATTCTTTTTATTATTTACTTGATTGTGCCAAGTCTTAGTTGAGGCAAGCAGGCTCCTTAGTTGCAGCTCACCGGCTCCTTAGTTGTGGCACATGAGCTCCTTAGTTGTGGCATGTGAACTCTTAGTTGCGGCATGCACATGACATCTAGTTCCCTGAGCAGGGATCAAACCCAGGCCCCCTGCATTGGGAGTGTGGAGTCTTATCCCCTGTGCCGCCAGGGAAGTCCCTGCCCATTCTTTAATTAGGTGAATTGTCTTTCTGTTGTTGAGTTGTAAGAATTCTTTATATATTTTGGTTTAGACCTTTATCAGATGTATGATTTGCAAATACTTTCTCTCATTCTGGAGGTTGTCTTTTCACTTTCTTGATGTTGTTCTGTGAAGCCCAAGAGTCCCGTTTATCTGTTTTTTCTTTGCTTGTGCTTTTGGTGTCATATCTAAGAAACAATTGCCTAATTCAAGGTCATGAAGATTAACACCTGTGTTTTCTTCTGAGTTTTCTTTTTAGTTCTTACATTTATGTCTTTCATCCATTTCTAGTTAATTTTTGTATATGGTGTGAGATATGGGTCCAGTTTCATTCTTTTGCATGTGGATGTCCAGATGTCCCAGAACAATTTGAAAAGACCATTCTTTCCCCCATTGAATTGTCTTGACACCTTTGTCAAAAATCAGTTGACCATAGGCCATGTATTGGTTTATTTCTGGACTTTGAATTCTATTCCATTGATCTGTATGTCTGTCTTTATTATAGTATCACACTGTCTCAGTTATTGTACACTTGTAGTAAGTTTTGAAATTGGGAAGTGTCAGCCTTCCTGGGCCCCTTGAATTTCCATATGAAGTTTTCAGCTTCAGGTTTTATATAGATTTTTTTTAGTGTTTGCTCTAGTTTTATGTATATATGTATACATATATAGATATATATGTACATATGCATAGACATATACACATATATCTATGTGTATGTACATATATAGATAAATATGTATGTGTATATGTGTATATATGTATATATGTACATACATATCTATATGTACATATTTATATATACATATATATCTATCTTATGACAGTCTACTGGTACTGACATTTTACCAGTTTGGAGAAAGAGTTGAAACCTTACCTCTTTTCACATCTCTTTACTCTTACCATATGTAATGTATTTGTCTTAAATATTTCCTCTGCATACGTTAGAGCCACATCACATAGTGTTTTAATTTTTGTTTCAGCTGTCAAACATAATTTAGAATATCCAAGAGCAGGAAAGTCTATTGTATTTACTTGTATTTTTACTCTTCCATTGTTCTTCCTTCCTGGTGTTCCAAGATTCCTTCTCTTATCATTTCCTCTCTGTTTAGAGTTTCAGGGTAGGTCTGCTGGCAACAGATTCTCTTAGTTTTCCTTCATCTGTAAATGTCTTGATTTCCCTTTCACTCTTGAAGGATAGTTTTGCTGGGTATAGAAATCTGGGTTGGTATTTTCTTTCAGCACTTGAATGTTGTGCTGCTTCCTTCTGGCTTCTGTGGTTTCTGATAAGATTTTGGCTACCCTTTAAATTGTCTTTTTCCCTGTATGTGTCATTTCTTGCTACTTCCAATATTTTTTCTTTTTTATTTAGTTTTTCAGCAGTTTGACTATCATGTGTCTTGGTGTGGATTTCTTTGGGTTTATACTGTATATGTTCATCAAGCTTCTTGAATGTGTAGGCTTATGTCTTTTGCCATATTAGTGAAATTTTTAGGTATTATTTCTTCAAATACCTTTTGATTCCCTCACTCTAACTTTTCTTCTGGGTCTTTGATTATACGAATGTAACACATTTTGCTGTAGTCCCACAGGTTCCTGAGGGTTTTTTTTCTGTCCCATTGCATGGTTCTTTATTTTTTTTGTCTTTTTTTTATTTTTATGGGCATATAGTTGATTTACAGTGATTCAGGTGTACAGCAAAAAGATACTCAGTTATATATATAGTATCTATCTTTTTTCAGATTATTTTCTATTATAGGTTATTACAGGATATTGAATATAGTTCCCTGTGCTATACAGTAGGTCCTTGTTGGGTTCCTGAGTTTATTTTTCTCTCAGTCTATTTCTTCTCTCTTGTTCATATTGGGTGCTTTCTATTGTTCCGTTTTCAAATTCTCTGATTCTTTTCTCCATTGTCTCCATTCTTCTGTTGAGTCCATTGTTTCATTATATATTTCAGATGTAGTATTTTTTAGTTCTATAATTTGTACTTGTTTCTTATTTATAGCTTCTCTTTTTTGTTTCCAGCATGCTTGTAATTGTTCATTGAAGCATTTTTATGATGACTCCTTTAAAACTCGTGTCATATAATTCTAACATCTTTGTCTAACATTATATTGTATAATTCTGGATTTTCTTTTCTGTTACTCAGATCTGTTTGTCTATTCATATATCAATATCATATTGATTTGATTACATTGGTTTTATAGAATGTTTAATATATGATGAGGCAAGTCATGCCCCCCTCCTCCTACCCCCATACCCATCTGCTTTTCTCTTTTATAGTTTTCTATTCCCATGCATTTATTCACCCATCTTTGAATTCTTTGCTGGGTCTCACATGATGTTTTTTTTTTGTACACTGGGCACTTGGTAACTGGTGAATTGAATTTGTCTACCAGAGATTTGAGTTGCATTCATTTGCATCTTGGTAGAAATTCCCACAAACTGGGTGCAATCTACTTAGTTCCACGAGCATTTCATGTCTGCTGTCTGCCCCAACATTGGGCTAGGTGCTAGAGATAGAAGATGGATAGGCTCTTCAGTACTAATAGACACAATAGAGGTATTCACCAGAAGTTTTGGGAGCACAGAGAAGAGCACTTAGTCTGGCCAGAGGTTTGTGAAAATCTTCTCAGAATAGTGACACCTGAAGAGTAAATAGAGACTGACCAAGGAAAGAAAGGCAGGAAAGCCCTCTCAGATAAAGGGAAAGGCATAAACAAAGCAAAGATGTGTGAAGCAGTTTATGGATACTAGAGCCTAAAGACCAAGGGCTGGGAGCAGATGAAGCTGAAAAGGTTGGCAGGCTGAACTTACTTCAGAGGCAACTGGGGACTACTGAAGATTTATTTGTTTATTTAATTTCTAATGAAATATTTTAGATGTAGCAAAAGATATAAAGAATAATATAATGAACATTTATGTGTTTATAACTCAACTAAAAATATAACATATTACAAACATATTTGAAGCCTTGTATATACCTCTCCTCAATTACATTCCCATTCTGCCCTCTCAGAGCTAGCTGTTGTCCTGAAGTTGATGATATTATTCTCATACATTTTTATCCCTTTATTACATAGGTATGCCTTAGTAAGCAGTATATAGTATTGTTTTACATGTTTTTGAATGTTATATAAATGGAATCATATTAGATGTATTTTTCTCAACATTTTTCCTCTGAACATTATGATTGTGAGATCCATGTTGATACATGTGGCTATTGTTCATTCATTTCACTTGCTTTCTAGTATTCCATTGTATGAGTATACAGCAGTTTATTCTCCTGTGGATGTACATTTCATTGAAGAGCTTCAAGCAGGAGGTGACATGGGCAGATTTGCATTTCAGATATATCACTTAGGGTTGAGATGTGGAGGATGGACTTCAGAGGTTGAGATTGGTGTGGAGCAGTGGTTTACAAGCACTTTGGACTCTGGACCTCTTTATACCCTTAAATATTATTGAGGACCCCAAAGAGCTTTTATTTATGTGGTTTATATTTATTAATATTTACCATATTATAAATTAAAACTGAGAATTTAAAAATATTTATTAGTTCATTGAGGAAAAAACAAGAATAAACCCATTACATGTTAGCATAAGTAACATTTTTATGAAAAATAACTATTTTCAAGCTAAAAAAATTTAGTGAAAAGATTAACATTTACATTTCTGCAAATCTTTTTAATATTCGGGTTAGCAGAAAACTTCTGTGTCCTCAAATCTGCTTCTGTGTGTTGTGATATCATGTCATGTACCCCTTGGAAAATCTCCACTGTATACTGAGGGTTAAAAAGACAAATAACATCTTAGTATTATCATGAACATAGTTTTGACCATGCATATGCTCTGAAAGAGTCTCAAGGAGCCCCAGGATTCCCTGGATCACACCTTAAAGAACCACTGGTGTTAGAGGAGCCAGTTTGTAGGCTGTTTCAAATAGCATAGGTGAGAGATAATGATGGATCTGAACCAAGCCATTAGTAGGATGGATGGATGAAGAAGGGGAGATGAATATGAGAGAGATGTAAGAAGAAAAATCAGAAGGTCCCAGAAGGCAGTATAGGGTCAAGGGCAAGGAAAATAATTTAGTTTCAACTAGGTACATCCTTCACAACCAACCTGTGAAGTGGATATTTAGCTATAGAAAACGGCAAGATTTGAACCCAGGTCTGTCTAACACAAAAACTCTTTGTTTTACCTAGCACAGAGTTAGAAGGGGTAGTCATGGCAAGGAGGTGATGTCTTTCTTAGCAATAAGAGAGAGGGTGGGTGAAGCAACGAAGAGAATTTGAAGTGCAGAGAAGGGAAGTAGAAGGAGTTTATTAACCCCATAGGTTGGTCCAGTTCAGGGTTATAATGATGGCAGACTTGGCTAGGATGGGCGTTGGGAGAGTGGAGGAAGCTAGAATGTTCTGAATTACTGCCAGGCTGGCTGGTCTAAGGAGTTGTGTTTGAGCTGAGTGGGCAGTGGTGATGTCCAAAGAAGAAAGGCCCTCTGCCAGCTATGTTTTTTGCCTTGTTACACTGCAGGATGGATCCATGCTGTGCTGACTCCCGTGGACTGCCTTGCCTTTGGAGGGAACTTCTTACACAGCCTTAACATTGAAATGCAGCTCAAGTGAGTCCTGAAGCTCTGGTGATACCGAGTTGGCCATTCCTATCTGCTAGAGTCCTTGAGTTCTCTGCTATTGTGAGGAGTGCAGCATAGAAAGAAGGGAGGCAAGATGATCAGAAAGGAATGGGTACTGGTTTCTGATGATGTTCAGTCTGAAGATGAATACCTCTTCCTCACTTAGTAGTTACGTGAATTTTGTCAAGTCACATAACCTTTGAGCCCAAGTTTCCTAACCCGTAGAGTAAGGTCTTAGAGGGTAGTTGTGAGGATTAGAGATAATGGATACAGAGCATCCAGAGCAATACCTGATACATAGTAGGTGCCCAGTAAACAGGGTCCTTGTTATCATTGTTATTGTTGTGCCTACTTCCTCCAGAGCCTATGAGATTGAGAAGCGGTTGAGCACAGCAGACCTCTTCAAGTTCCCTAACTTTGAGACCATCTGTTGGTATGTGGGAAAGCATATCCTGGACATCTTTCGAGGTATGGAGCCCTTTGCCAACTGTCCTTTTTGCCCTGCTGCCCTGACCATGTGTGTGTGCACATGTGCACGTAACCATCACCTCAAATCAAGATACAGTACCCATCACTACAAAGATCTTTGTAGTGTTACCCCTTTATAACCTCACCCACTCTCTCCCCCTGAACTATCCATAACTTCAGGAAACCACTGATCTCTTTTTCATCTCTGTAATTTTGTCATTTCAAGAATGCTATAAAAATGGAATCAAAGGATGCGATCTTTTGAAATTGGCTTTTTTACTAATCGTAATGTAGGGTAGGGCATGGATTTTAACTTTCTTATTTAGCAAAGGGGACTGAGAAAATTGGATCACAGTGAAATTATTCCTATTTCCTGCCAATTAAAATAAGAAACTCAATCGGTATAGTGTCAGAGTTCCCTGGGGACAAGGCCCAGTCCTGACTACCCATCATTGGTTTGGTTCCTGGGTATCAGCCCAGGTAGAAGCCAACCTGCTGGGTTTCCTCTTTCCTGGTCTGCTTGGAAATAGAGTGGCTCCCTTACTCAGACCTGAGATTCTTCAAGGTGACTTGGCCAGGAAGAGTTACAAAGAACCTCAGAGGCCAATGAGTACACTCTCTTATGAAGTACCTCAAGCCCTTATTCTGCCATCTAGACAGACCGTCACTTAAATGTTCATTCAGAGGCTGGATGACTAACTGCTTATTATTTTCTGTTCTGAACAGCTTAGTTCAGTAGAAAATTCTTTATTGAGCCTAAATCTGGATGTTTGTTATAACCTCCTCCTGGAGTAACTCAGAACAAGGCATTAATGGCTCATCAGATCTGTGTAGGTGGCAGTTGTCCTCCTGAGTGTTCACATTTTGAAACCCAAGAGGCAGAGTAATGTAGAAGGAGCACAGGCCTCAGATTTAGACAGATGAGGTTTCAGTCTTGGCTTTGGCACTTACCAGGTGTGGCCTTTGGTTGTCTCTTTGCCTCTCTGAGCCTCATTTCCTGAACTATATAAAATGAAGATAATGATATCTGGCTTATAGGGTTGGGTATAGGATTAAATGAGATAGTAGATGTCAAGGTAGTCATAAAATGAACACCATTATAAGAACTGAGATATGGAGTTGTGCTCAGAACCTTGAGCATTTTCTCTGGTTGCCTGAAAAAAACTAACAAGTCCTTCACTTCCCTGCATGGCTTCTTTGACACTCTACCTTCCTCTTTCCCCCTTTAGGTTTGCGAGAAAACAGGAGACACCCTGCCTCCTACCTGGTCCATGGTGGTAAAGCCCTGAACTTGGCCTTTAGAGCCTGGACAAGGAAAGAAGTAAATATACTTATTTCTCTACCTACTTTAGAGGTCTACTCTCAGCAGGGACTGGCTTTGGGAAGATCCTCTGGGGACGTGGAGGAAACTAGGGAGGTTTGTGGGCTCCTAGGATTAGAGTAGAGGACTGGGCTAGGACTCCTTGGATTATATTTTTAAACCTTTCTGATTATAAAAAGTATTACATGCTTACTGTAGAGAATTAGAAAAATACAGAAGAGTGTAAAGAAGGAAAAACTTCACCTGTAATTTTAACTCAGAGGGAATAAACATTAACATTTGGGTATACTTCCTTTTGTTTTTTTAATATTCATTTTTAAAACATGATTGCTCTCACTCTGTACATATAATTTTGTATCTGAATTGGTTGGCTTATCTTAATTTTTCTATGTCACCAGAGTTCTCCACAAACATTAATAGTTACATGATATTCTTTTGCAGGGATGTACCATCCTTACCTAACCACTTGTTTATTGTTGCTTATTTATTTATTTGGGGGATAGTTCTAGAAAATCATGCAGTAAATAGCTGTTCGCATCAGTCTTTGTTCCTCATCTCTTGATTGTTTTTTCAGGATAGATTTTTAGAAGAGTGATCACTAGATCAAAGTATGTGAAAAAATGTGAGACTCTTTTTTTTTTTTTTTTTTTTTTTTTTTTCCTTGCGTTATGCGGGCCTCTCACTGTTGTGGCCTCTCCCATTTGCGGAGCACAGGCTCCGGACGCGCAGGCTCAGTGGCCATGGCTCACGGGCCCAGCCGCTCCGCGGCATGTGGGATCTTCCCGAAACGGGGCACGA